GTACCCAAAGTGCTTTCACTGCACTTGTCCAGCCATTACAGTTCTGTCAGGCATCAGCGGGGCCCGCAGGCGATGAGGACAGGTCCTCTTCAGGCACCTGCCACAAGGCAGCCCCTGCCAGGGGGCATCAGCCCAGCCCAGAAGCCCACCAGGAATGTCAACAATCCTTTGAGGGATTCACACACCCCCTTCTCCTCTCACACGGAATTCCCGGGAAAGGCTAAGGCTCTTCAGGCAAGCTGGTGGCCTTTTCCCTCCACGCCGCTCCTCGTTCTTCCAGAGAGCCTCTTGGCCCAGGCAGAGCATCGCCCGGGAAGTCACGTCTGCAGCCTGGTCTATTCCAGGTCAAGGTGCCTGGGCAATACACCAGCCTTACGCCATGGTGTGGCCTTGGGGCAGTTGCAAGGGCTGCTTTAGGCACCAGAAGGGCTGCAGCGTGAAAGCCTGGGTGGGGAGGCTCCTGGGCTTGGGCCAGAACCAGTAAATGTCCCATTCCAACCCTGTGCTGGGCCATGGGAGCCCGAAGGCTTTGGGCCGGTCACCCCCCATCAACCTGCCTCGCAGGCTCTGCTGCAGAGACCCAATAAAGGGAGCCCTGCAAAGATATTTCCTTCCCTTCCCGAAGAAAAGGGAGATGCAGCCCAGCAAATCACAAAAACAATGGCTCCATTGCCACCCCGGCTCACAAAATCATTCAACGCTTTGAGGCCTTCTCACGCAGTGGGAGTGGGACAGGGGAGGGCTGTGCCCCCCCCCCCCCCCCCTCCCCCCCCCCCCCCCGCACAATGGGATCAGCTGAGGAAGGTTCCCCTTGGCTCAGAAGGAAAGCTCCTATTTGAAATTGGAAAAACAGCTCCTTTAGCAACACCATCCACCGAAAACCCTCAACACCTGTAGCAACTCGAAAAGGCTCCTGAAACAAGACGACGACCCCACCTAATTAAAGATGATACAGATTCTAACCAAGCTGCTCTGCTAGACAAGCACAGAGAATGTTTTTTATTTGGCCACCATCATGAAAAAGCAACTTGAAATTCAGCAATTACAACAACGAATTGTGAAACCAGCTGAAGAGCCGCTTTGGTCCCCAGTACAATCTCCCAAATCCCCCCCCCCCCCCCCCCCCTTCCTCCCCCCCCCCCCCGCCCCCCCCCCCGGCAGACCCCCGTGCGGCCCCCCCACCCCCCCCCCCCCCCCCCCCCCCCCCCGCTAAGATTTCTTCACGCGCCCAGGAGCCATTACACAGGCAGGGCATTTGGCGGCTGCCAGGCCTGGCCATACTTGCCCTCTCCCTCCTGAAACAGCCCAGCAGGGGAAAAAATCTGATTAAAGGGCCAAGGATGCACCGGCCGGCTGCACATTGCCACATTCCCCGAGAAGCTCCCATTGCCCTCCTCCTTTTCACTCCTGGTTGCTGTGGAGACATCTGCCCTGGGGGGACTTGAAAGGAACCGGTGCCCCTTCCTCCTCGACTGAGGTCTCAGAACAGGCACAGCCGTGCCTTCCCTTCCTCTGCTGTGCCGTGCTGCAATACAAGAGGCTCCCTCCATCTCTGTCCTTCCTTAACTGGGAGGGGGCCCTTCAGCAATCGCGTCCCCCCAAGCACGGACTACTCTCTTGGCAACACTGGCTGGGTGTCTCCACACACCCATAATCACAAGGCGTCTCAGCCAACTAACATCCTTCTCCCACCACAGTAAACGCGCTGGTTCATTTTAACGCTGCCAAACCACCAAGTGCTGGTAGAACATTCCACCTGGGCCCTTTGTTTTTTGGTCTGTCCTGAAACCGCATCGTGTCCCCCAAAGCTATTTAGGGCCCAGCCTTCCCTGAATATGGACCACAACTGCAGTCAGCCGTGAGTCCATGACTCACAAATGCTTCAGCTGCAACGTTTCTCATTCTGATGCGGACTACTGGGAGGTAGATGGGATACTTCAAGGAATGGATAAAATGAGATTTTGAAACCTTAGGCTGAAGTAGTAATGACTCTTTTTCTTATCTTTGGAAGAAAAAAAATGCAGCATAATAAAGAAGGCTGTTATGGTAAAATTAAAAAGAACACTTCAAAATGTAGAAAGAATGAGGTAAGGCAGCCGATGCTGCATTTTTCCATGGGTCAAAACAACATCCTGGCCCATGAATTCAGTCTCTCTTCCCTGTTCATCCCCCCCCCCCCCCGAATTCCAGCACGAAGGGGAGTCGTGAGGGGAGCCAGTCCCGCTGCACGAGCTGATAAAATGATGGGATTTGAGGTGTCCAATTAGGTGGTTCTGTTAATTAGCAAGATCTGCGATAATCAAGGTTGATCTGCCACACATCCAAAGACACAGAGGCTTCCTGGTTCCTGGTGCAGTCCACTCACCCAAGCCAAGCCAAGCCAAGCCAAGAGGCAGCCTGTTCTGGCTTTAGACATTCCCTGGAGGAAAAGGCAGGGCAGGATCTGGCAAGGACCCGGCCTGATCCAGGGCTTCCCATTCCACAGCCGCCGCCCCCACTCCTCAGAATGGCACCTGCGGAAGGGGGAGGGGGAGAGCCAGGGAGAAGGAGGCCCTTCAAAGGCCAGGCAAGGTCTGGGCTCTCCAGGCTTCCCGGCCTTCTCTGGCTTCGGCCACCCCAGGCCCTTCTCAAAGCCCACCCCCAGCAGGGGCTGCTTCTCCTTCCCTCACCTGCGCAAGGGCTGAGGCAGGAGGCTGCCGGGCAAGGGAAGTCACCTGGCCCACAAGGGAGAAAAGGCAGTGGGGGGTGGGGGATCGGTTAGAAACTGGGAGTCAGGCTGGTGGGGCAGCGGGAAGGCCCCCTCTGTTCGCTGCAGGAGCCCGGAGGCTGCCCTGGGATCGGAGACTGCATTGAAGCGGCCCTAGAAGTTTCCAGAGAAAGGGGGGAAGGGGACACGGAAAACAAGGCCAGGCGCGGGGCATCAAAGGGACATTAACGCCTCCTGGCACGGAAGCCCCTCCGGTCTTTGGCAGGCCTCGCTCCCCGGCAGCGGCCTGAGTGGAAGGAGGCGGCGCCCGCAAGGCCTGCTCGAGCCCCGCGGACGCAGAAATCCCTCGGCCTACGCTGGCCCAGCGCAAACAATCCCGACACCGCCTTGACGAGAGCCGACCCGGGGACGGGCAGGCGGGCGAGGCCTCTACAGAAGGCGAAGCCTCCGGCCGGCGGTCGCCCTGCCGCTCGGGAGAAGATCCCGGCCCCGAGTCTGCCCCGGCGCAAGGCAGGCGGGGCGCCCCACGGCCGGAACGGAGCTTTTTCATGCGGCTAAACGGTGGGGTCCCGACGCCGCCTTCGCACGAGAGTCCCCGGCCGAAGTCTGGCGGAGCCGGCCGCTGTTCGTGGCGGAGCGGCCCCGAGCAGCTCGGACCGCGACAAGGCTGCTCGCCCGAGGCCTCTGCGGCGGCTGCGGAGACTGGCAATCACTCTCCTGCCCGGCAAGGCTTAGCCACCAACTGCCCGGCAGCCTCTTGTGGAGTAACTCCAACCGCAGCTCGGGCGCGGAACGGCCGGCGGAAAATAGGTGACTCGCAGCGATCGGCGAGGCTGGCCAGAGGTGCCCGCGGCGGCGGCCGCCCGAAGCCCGCTGGAGCCCGGGACAGGGAGACGGGGAGGCTCCGGCCGAGACGGGCGGGATTCCTTCCGGGCGAACTTTGGGCTGCCGCCGCCGCCGCGGCCGGGAAGCGGCGCGGCTGAACTTCGCGGTTTCCGGAGCGATGCGGGACCGGCGCGGCTGGGGACAAACCGCGGCCGCTCCAGCGCAGGCGGGACCTTCCGGTGCGGGGAGCCGCAGTCACCCGGCCGAGCGGGAGCCGCGCTTAGCCCGGGCCCATCTGGCCTCAGCCGGAGAGCGGCCCGAAACGGCCAAGTCGGCCCCAAGCGACGGGCTGGGGGCGGCTCCCGCCGGGCTCTCTGGTGGCCTTGCGGAGGGCCGGGGCTCCGAAGCGGCAGCCCCCGCGGGCGGGGAGAGGCGGCTCGCGCCGGGCCCGCTCACAAGGAGGCCGCCGACCGAGAGCAGCCGCGGCCCGGCGGCTTCCGCGGCTGCCAGATCGATTATGGAGATGGGCCGATCAATGCGGCCGCGATCGTTGGGCCCCGAGGCGCTCCCGCTCCGAACTGCCCTCCGCGCCCGCCGGTCGACCGGCCTGGCCTGGGCTGCCCGCAGCACCTGCCCGCGGCGAGAGGCGCCCAAAGTTTCCGCCGCCGGGGGGAGGGGAGCAGCGGCCCCGATCCGGCGAGAAGGGGCCGGGCCACCCCATGCAAAGCAGCCCGGGCGGGGCGCAACGAAGTTGCCACTTACGCGGCGGCGGCGGCGGCGGCAGCGTCTTCCCTCCTCCTTCGTCCGTCCTCCTCTTCCTCCTCCTCGGCCCCTCCTGCTGCGATAGCTCCGGCGAGACGGCTAATCCCGGGCGGGGGCGGGGGCGGGGGGGCGACGGATCCCATGAAGGATACGGGCGCGGCGGGCTCCGAGCTGCAGCCCGGACAGGCGGCGGCGGCGGCGGCGGCGAGACAAGGCGGAGGAGAGGCGCGGAGCAGGCGCGGCGGCCGGAGCCGGGCGGGAGCCGCTTCCACTTGTGCCGCCGGGCCCGCTGCTTCCCCCGCCGCCACCGCCGCCGCCGCCGCCGCTGCCCAGCAGCAGCAGCAGCAGCAGCAGCATCGTCGCCGGGAGCGGCGGCGCCCCGGAGCGAGGCGGGCGGGGGCCCGGGCGGGCGGGAGCCGGACGGCGGGGCGGCCGGAGCAGGAAGCGCCGCGTTCAGATCTGCTGATTGGGGAGGAAAAAAACTCTTTGGATCTTTATTCTGCTAATTAGTTTCCTGCAAAAAATGGCTGATTAGTGCAGTGCGCATGTGCCTCATTACCCAGGCACGACGGGAAGGGCTAATTAGCCACCTTCTGGATCAATAAGATTCAGCCCAGGCGGCGGGCGGGGGAGGGAGGGAGGGAGGGGAGCGCGCGGGCGGGGCGGCCGGCGGGGGGGGGGGGGGGGAGGGCAGGCGGGGGGCGCACTCCCGCCTCGCCCCGGGCATTCCAGCCCTTTTCTGGCCGCCGCCGCGGCTGGAGCCGGATGGGGAAGTTGCCGGGGAAGTTGGGGGTCGGCGGGAAGAGGCTCGCCCGGACGCGGCCCCGATCCGGCTCCCAGCGGCAACGTCACGGCCTGGGATGGCTTCCGCCGGGCGTCCTCGGCGCGGGCAAGGCAGCCGGCCCAGCGGCGGCGCCTCCTTCCGGAAGGCCGGGCTCAGGTCCCCTGCGACGCGGCGCCGCTCGGACTTGGCCGGGGGAGCGGCGGGAAGGCCCGCCGAGGGGCCGCCGGAGGTCGGCTGGGGACCGGGAGGAGTTGCGGGCGGGGGAGGCTCTGCGATCGGAGCCCCCGCCCGCCTGGCCGAGGGACCCAGAGCTGGCCGCGCCCAACCCGGGCGCGCTGCAGTCGGGAAGCGCTTGAGCCGCCAGGGGCTGGCGAGACGCCCGAAGAGCCGAGCCGCGGGCAGCGAGACGGATCGCGGGCGGCCCCGGCCGAAAGGAGCGGGGGACGGCGGGCCGGAGTGGCCTGAAGCTCGCGCTGCCCGGTCGGGCTGCCTGGAGGCGGAGCGGCGCGCTCGGCCGGCGCTGAAGAGCTCGCGGGCGGCCGCGTCCTTGGCCCGGTTGCTTCGACGACGCTTCCCCGCGAGAAGCGGCTCCGGGTACGTGGCTTCCTCTGCCGGTTGGGGTCGGAGGGGGAGGGCGCGCCCGGCCCGCCGGGTCTCTCGCAGCGATGGGCCTCCGGGATGGGGACGGATGGGCTGCGGAAACGCCGCCCTGGTCAGCCCGAGCGGGTGGCCTTTGCCCGCTGCTCGGCGAGCCAGCTCGGAGGAGGAGGACGCGCTTAAGAGGCAGCAGCCGCCTGAAAGAGCCGGAGGGGCGCGACCCGCCTGCCCAGCGCAGCCCCTCGGCGGGCAAGCCGGGCGGGGGGGGGGCTGTGGTCCGTGCCTTTTAACTTCCTACTAAGGACTACATTTCTTTTCCAAATTCCATGCAAAGCACTTGTGGTGGCACTGTGGCCATCCGACTCTGTTTAATTAACGTTGTTGTTGTTTGAATAATTTACCAGTATAAATGACTTGCAACTTACTTCTCAGCAACAGGGCTGACTGGGACTCTGGTGTTCAGCTCCTGCTGATTCAGAGCAACTGCCTTAGATTAGTGTATTGGTGTCAACTTCATTTTATTCTAATAAATATAATCACTGATCCTAAGAATGTTTTGGTTAATTTTTAAATCAACACCAGAAGCCGAGTTCAGCCTTCTATCTAAAGCTGAAATACAGGCTGAGGCAGTCACTCATTCTTAGAATTATCAAATTACTGCTTAATAAAATGCATTTTAGTTCTGCTGAATTGCACCTCATCCAAATTTTATATGAAACGAAGGGGCATCCACTCTGAACACACTGGGAGAAAGAAACTCAAGGGAGCCACTGACTCTCGATGTGTCCCTCCCCTCCTCAAAGGCTACCAGACGGGTGGGGGGGGGTATTTTAATCTACTCCAGAACAGGTGAAGACAAGGAATGGCACAGGCAGGAAGGGGGGGGGGGGGGCTTTGAAGGATCTCTTTGCCCCCTGCTTGCAAGCCTCTTGGGAGAAGCACGGGGGGGGGGGGGTGGCGCCTCCAAAACCCCAACCATCCACGCTTCCTCCATCCGTCTAAGCACAGGCCCCTCTGGGTGCCAGAAGAAATGATTCTGCAGGAGCCGTGGCGAGAGTGGCTTCCTCCAGTGCACCTTGGCTACCTTGAAGGGCTTGGGAGAGAATGATGGGGTTCAGAGGGAGGTGGGGAGGAATCTGCTGCAGGAGCAGCAGCAAGGAAGACCTGACTGAATGGCTCTGCCTTAACCAGCTCCATCAGGGAGGGAGGGAGGGAGGGAAGGAAGGAAGGAAGGAAAAAAGAGGGAGGGAAGGGAAGAAAATGGAAGGAAGGAGCTGTCTTAGATTGACTGATGGCCGTTTCAGCAAGTTCTCTCTCTCTGCCTTAAGCAAAGGAAACAATCTGCCGTATTGCCTGGAAGGTTTTCATCCTGCTAGGGCCTGAGCCAGCACATCACCCTATGCTCCCCAGCTACTCCACCAGCACTTTGGGGTTTGGAACTGCTCATTCCCTGGGAGTGCCAAGAAGCTGTTTGTTCATTTCCGTCCAAGGACTTTTCAGGTTTCTTCCTGGAAAAGAATGCAGTGCCCGAGCTTTGTTGGGCAAAATCTGTATGCTGTTCCTGCTGGTTCCTCATGGAGCAGCAGCCCATCCAGGCAGCTTGAAAGCAGACAATTCGGTTTGCAACCGCCACAATGGGGTGGGGGGAGGGAGCAGAGAACGAAGCCCAGGGAGGAATGGAGAACGGACGGGGGTATTCGTGTGACAGCCCCTGAGAGGAGGGGGGGCACCACCAAGAGACTTCCCCAGAGATTAGGAAGAAAATACTCCCAGGAAAGCATCCGATTACAACGGCTGCGAATGCATTTATACATCTATAAGCAGGACACAAACTGGAGTGAGAAAACCTTCACTTAAACAATTGGAGCTTCAGCCAGGTTTGGCATTCATCCATCCTTGGAACCAAAAAAAAAATAAAGGCTCCGGTTTCATAGTACTGTAGGTTTTGCTTAACACTGGGATTTTGAATTATGCTAAGAAATGATGTTTAACATATCTACGGCATCCTTACATTGTATATTTTATAGTACTTATCACAACTGTGACAAAAGAGAAGCCTTTTCACTGCTCATGGGACCTGCAAGTTCATACAGTCTGCAAATTGAATGTCTCTACTGCCATAAAAGCAGAAAATGGAAATCCTCTATATTCCAAATTTTATAGATCATCTGCACAGCCAGCTGAGCCTTCCAGGAGTTGCTAAAAGGTATACAAATTACTGTATTTGTTTTTATCCTGGTTTAGTCGGTGCCTGGTTCAAAACACTTGAACATTGCTTCATGATCCCAGCATCCAGAATTTTCAATCCCAAATCACAGGGACATTCAACTCTAAGGTGGCTTTGGGTGCTTTAGCCACAAAATAAGGGAGTTGGTAGTAGGAAGACGGTGGTTGTCTTAGACTGGGGGGGGGGGGTGTTCCTCCACTACCTAAGTAAACTGTACACAGTCCTGCCTTTACAAGTATGAAAGATTTCATATTCTCCACACAGCTTTCTTTTGGCCTCCAAGTATGAAGAAAACTGTAGCCATCCCTATCATTGTTCTTTGTTCTTCTGTGCGACCTTGGTTTTGCCTTCAAGGAGAGCATGTCAAACCACAAAGAGCTGCTTTGAGAGCACCTGGGAAGGCTTCCCCTCCCTCTCCTGTCCCCCTCCTGCTCTCCTGGCTACAGGATCTCCACCAACTTGGAAAGGCCTCAGTTCTGGACTCCTGGCCTGAGCAGGAACTGGCTCTTTTGGCCTTCCTGGGCCATTCAGCAGAAGGAGGAGACCCTGTGGGTCTGCTGCAGACGCTACAGTGGCCCTGCCCAGACAGCCACTTGGCGGGGCCAGGGCAGGTGCCTTGCTCCAATAGGGAAGGAGCGCAGGTGGTTGGGCAATGGGTGGTGAACGGCACTTGGTGCTCCAGCTGTTTGGGCCCGCTCGGGCTGGCAGGGACCTTCCCTAGAGACAAACGGTTCTTTCCTCTCGAGAGGGACAGGACGGCAAGGAGGTTGGCTCCTCCTGCAAACAGAGCAGCTGCAGCTGGAAACTTCCCAGCCCTCCTCAGCCAGGGGATCCATTGTTTGACTGGACCCAAGATGTTACTCCTGCCAGAACCTGCCCAGCAAGCGAGTGCCAGCATCCAGGACTTGCTGGGCCTCCCACTGGGGGGTCTGCAAGGGGGGATCTAATGCTGTCGGTGTTGGGGTCATTCTCGGGCCAGACAGTTCTCCCGTGCAAGCGTGTCTCCTGAGGAAGCGTCGCGCACAGGCGTTTCCACGGGGATCAGAGCACGTGTATCAGGTGCTGATCATTTTCATGCAGAACCGAGGAGGGCCCTCCGAGCAGCAGCTCCATGCGCAGAGCCCTGCGGAAGCAGAGCCCTAAAGCTGCCGTATTCCGACGTAGCCCTCGGCAGCTAAAGGGCCCGTCCGATAAGGCACGAGGGTCAAACTCGCGGCCTCACGCTGCCGTCATGGGACTATCACAGTGTTTTCCCCCTTTGCAGAGCTGGGCTGGGCGTGGCCTGCGTGTGATGCATCTGGCCTGTGGGCCGCCAGTTTGACTGGGGCATCTTTCCTGGGCCATCATCTAAATATGCCCCTTAAGGGAGAGACTCCAAAAGGGAAGGCAAGGTGTCCCCATTGATCTCCCCTGCTGAGGAGAGGGCTGTTCTTTGATCCGGAGACCCCTCATGCTTGTGCCCACCTCGGGTGGCCTTGCCGAGGATGCCAGAGAGTCCCACACATTGGACTCTGGCTGCTCCTAGAGAGCGATTGGCCGGCCTTGGAGGGACAGTCCTTTAAAGTCCAAAAAGGGGCTACCCTGTACCCCACTAGCAGCCTGAAATTATGCCCCTGCCCTGGCAGAGCTAGCCTCGGGTGTGGCAGACGCAGGTCTCCTGGTGGTGGTGCCAGGGAGAGCTACCCAAGGGCACTTGGGAGCGGTTCCTCCGCAGGAGAACCCGCCCCCTGCAGGCAGGAAAAGGCCGGCGTCTCCCAGAGTCCCATTCCCATGGAAGCAGCCATGATCGGTAGGAGAGTTAAGTGAAAATCTCAGCAGCTCTGGAGCAGGGACCACCTGCCTGGAACCCTGGGGGAGCCCGGAAGGGCCTTTCTGGGTGACTGGGAGAGAAGAGACCGTCTCCCCAGAGGAATGGGGCTGATCAGCCAGGCCGCCTCCCTCTCCGGCTGCTCCTCCTTGCAGAAGTTGCCCTCATGCAGCTTCTCTCCAGAGCTGATCGAACATCCTCATTCTGCACACCCACTCCTGACCAATTCCCCCCCCCCCCCAGCTGAGGCACCAGCCATCCAGAGGAACGGGAGGCTGCATTGAAAGGGACGCCTGAGAGGCGTGCAGGGGGCTCCCGGTCTCCCAGTGGCAACCCTGCCAAGGATCAGGAGGCTGCACAGCCGCAGCTCAGGCTGTGGCTGTGGCTGTGGATGGGGGCTTCCTCTGGCCTAGGCAGCCTTCGATATACGGCCCCAACTGAGCCCCAAGTTTATGTGGCTTCAGCAAGAGAAGCGAATTTTGTCCCATTTTCGACCTTCCTTGCCAGTTATTAAGTGAATCACTGTAGTTATTAAGTTAGTAGCCTGGTTGTTAAGTGAATCTGAGTTCCCCATTGACTTTGCTTGAAGGATGGTCCCAAAAGGGGACTTGGCCAAGGGACGCTGTGACGTGCCCGTTGAATTTTGATCCCGTAACCACAGGATCAAAATTACAATGGTAATTTTGGTCGTAATGTTACAATAGTAACAATGGTCATAAGTATGAAAATGGCCATAAGTCACTTTTTCCAGTGCAGCTGTTGTAACTTTGAATGGTGGAGAACTACCTGTATTGTACCTGCCCACCTATAACAATGGCCCCCACAACAGATACAATCCAGAATCAACTTGTCAAGAAATCATGGAAATGGCCCCAAGGAGGATCCCTACCTGATCGTGATCCCAAAGACCTGCCCTTCCACACCCGACTCGTCCTCCGCCTCGTGCCCGCTTGAGATCCAGAG